CAACATTATATTGACCATGTGTTTGGTAAAAAAAAATTTTTTTACTTATAGGAATCGTTCAGCACAAGACTAAAGAATTTACAAGATTTGGCGTCTACAAATATATATTTATCAAATTTACCTTTAGATATGAAGGAGCAGGTAAAATTTAGAAAATTTACTTGGAATATATAAAGATATTTTTATTGAATTTATATCAAAATAATTTTATTTCAAATCCTAGAATTTTCTTTATTAAAAAATAAAAGATCACGAGACTTTATATTCCAATTAATTTTTAGCCTGAATGATGGATGTTAGGCCGAATCATATGAAACCTTTGGAATTTCTTATTGTTGATTAATTAGTTTAGGTTTATTATTATTTTAATTTAATGATTAAAGTCGGATCCTAGTAACAATAATAACGGATGATAAAGGAAAATGTATAAAAGAATTGACGAACCTAATGGAATAATCGAAGAACAGAATCAAGGTAATATGTAAATTTTGAATATTTAAATAGATGATATTAAATATTTGAAAATTAAAGAAAATACACCGTCTCTAGATTCGAATACAATGTCTAACTATCTTTGCAAAACTTAAGGTTACCTCGGTCTCCCTAAATAGCCTTTGAATTTTTACTAAAATTGCATTTCGGATTCATGGCCTTTTTCGGGGATGAAAGGACGCCGAAACTATATTAATATTAATATAGATGGAAGAACTAATTAAATTGGTCGTAATTAGTCAATGATAAAATGAATAAATAGAAAATTAGCGTAATAAAAGTTCTTACTATGTATTCATTTTATTTTATTTTCGGAAATGATTATCAAGGAAATTACTTACTCTTTCTCTTCAAAAAATTGTATTTATTATTTAATTAATCTTTTATAAATCTAAGAGTACAAACAAACATATATATGTGCCAAATAATAACACCAACTGCTTACATTGTTGTACAAATAGAGAATTCCACCAAAGTATAGTCGTCGATGGACAAAGAATATTTTACGCTTCGATTTGTGCTTTATCTTCGTATGCATGCAAATAAGGAATTTGAGAAGAGTAGAACCAAAACCTGGTCAAAGAGAATACTTGGCAATTGTAAAACAGTTGCAAGCGCCAAATAGATTAATAGGAAAAATATTAAAGTAGCTCAAATGACGCTTGGCTTCCAATTTTATTGCTGACTTTTGTGACTTATGGCATCATCATCGTCTTTTTGAGTTCATTGTAACCATGCAGTAAATTAAAAATATTGATGTACAAACTTAATCAATTATGGTAAATATGTCACCTTATATCAATATCATCCAGTCATTTTTTACTATTACCCTTTTTCAAAAAAAAAAAATTTTTTTTTCTTTCTTGTGAGAAATAATATAGAAAAACCGTGACTCTATTATTGTTCACCTGACTTGGATTGTAAGACGTAGTAGTGCGTTATATACTTTTTTTTTCCGTTTACAAACAACTAAAGAAACTGTACTTTTGAAAATGGTATGGAGTCATTTTTCTTTCTATATTTAATATTTAAATTTTCCAACTATAAAATAATAGATAATCTCATTTTATTATTAATATTATCTAGGGTGGTGTTTTCACTGAAAATTCTTCAAAATCACCAAGAATTGCTTCTACAAACGAAGAACTTCAACCTAGTCCTTCCATTGCAACACAAGCTAAATCAATTATGAATCAACAAAAGTATAAAGATTTTTTTAAAGCGATTATAAAATTAATTGATTATTAATATTTTATTTTTGGTAACATTAACATACGACTATATACATTATATTATATCTATACGTATTATATAATTTATGGAATTAATTAATAGTAGTAGTCAAATTCCCACCAATGTTGACCCTTCCTCAGCACCTAGTACTCCTTTAATAAAAAATGAATTTGTAGCAATTCAACAATCACATTTACCAATTCAATTAGCTCCACATACTCCCCAACATATCGTTCAAAAAATTCAACAGGCTCAACAATTATCACCATCACTGCTTCACACTCCATTACGAGATGATGATTCAATTTCTGCTTCATCAACACCTCAAACAACGCCGAGTGGTAGTAGACCTCCCGTAGGTAGTGATGAATGGAATCGACAACGTCGTGAAAACCATAAAGAGGTTGAACGTCGTCGACGTGATACAATCAATGCTGGTATTAGTGAATTGGCAAAGATTGTGCCTGGTTGTGAAAAAAATAAAGGTAGTATTCTCAATCGATCAGTCCAATACATTCAACAACTTAAAGAAAACGAAAATACTAATATTGAAAAGTGGGAGTTGGAAAAATTATTGACAGATCAAGCTATTCAAGAATTACAAGCACAGGTTGAATTGTTAAAGGCTGAAAATGGAAGACTCAGAGAAGAAATAGAAGAATTACAAAATCCAACAAAAAAGAAACAACGAACTGAATGATTGAATGATTAAACGATTGATTACTTGCTAAAATTAAAATAATCGGTTAAAATTTTGCCATTATATTTTATCCGAATAATTAAAATTAGAAGGAATTTTAATCAGAATTGAATAAGTTTACGATATAACCTAATAATCATAATAATATAATTAATAATAATATAATAATAATGTTGATATAATAATAATATTAATAATAATAATAATAATGATAACAATACAACAGTTTATTGTTTGGATACTTTGTTTCCGTGGAGTTTTTTTTTTCAAAGAAATCAAGTGTAGTTTATATTTTAATGAGGTAGTAGGATTGCAAGCCATTTTGATAAACGATTCCAGCAAGCAATTTTTTCTTTCCTCTTTTTCTCTATTATCATTCTTTCATAGTAGATTCTAACGATGTTTATAAATTTTTTTAACTAGTAAAATTTTCACCATTTTGAATTAGATTATTCTTCTTATTTGAATATAGATTCTTGTATTCATTATTATTATTATTATTATTAATACTCAACGTAATTATAATAATATTGTATATTTTGCACACCATCATGCCAACATTATCGTACCATTTTATATACCGAAGGTCCACGATTGATTGGGAAAAATAGATGAATATTGATTTGATTGTCCTCTAAATTCTCTCAACTTCTTGTGCTAACGATTATTTATAGATTGATTGTTTTCTTTTATGCAAATCAAGCCATTAATGCTACTACAATTATATTGAAATTAAATCTGTGTGCGTTAGAACCATTCGACGACAATAATAACGATCGAGTCCAATGGGATCCATTGTATCCAAATATCCATTTGCTAACAATGTTTTTGATATAATTCCTATTTATTTATTTTCCATAAGAAAAACGATCATCGAATTTTTTTGATTTTCAAAAAAGAATTATTTACAAATTTAAATACCAAGAAAGACAAAAAATGGCACCAGCACCATGGAAAAATATAATAAAATCATTAATTACAGAACATTTCAAAACTTCAAATAGAATGCAACCAATGCAGGTATATATATTATGTATGTATAAACTATTTATTTATCAATTTTTAATTCATTGATTATCCCTAAAAACTCTAGTTATCAACTTTTGATTCGTCTACAAATCGACCATCAAATCGTAGTGTGATTTTTCGTGGATTTCTAAATCGTAGTGATGATGATGATCCGACAATTGAAACTGATTTGTTGGTTATAACAACCGATATTAGAACTAAAAAAGTTGAGCAAATATTAAAAAATCCTGGTTATGAAGTTTGCTGGTAAAATTCATGAATTTTTATTATAATGAAAATTATATTTTTTAATAGTAATTATAAATATAAATGTATAAAATACAACAACAGGTGGTTCCCTTCAACAAATAATCAATTAAGATTATCAGGCAATGCGTATATTATACATCCTACATTAAGAACATCTCCATCATATACTCAACTCGTAAATTCTCATTTGCTGCCATCAAATTTCAACTGGGAACAAGAACGTATTAAACATTGGCAAAAACTTTCTTTTGAAATTAAACATTCATTTTATGCTGCTATATCCGAGAAACCACCAGGCGGTAAAATTACGATTGATAAAGTTGTAGATGATGATGAATTAATAATCGCAGCTACCAATACTGAAAAAAGTAAATCAAAAGAGAATATCGAGAAGGTAACAGATTTAAAAGTTCATGAAAATATGTGTTTAATAATATTGGAGGTTGATGAAGTTGATAGATTGGAGTTATCAGTTTGGCCCAATAAAAGAACTAGATGGCATCTTGTCAAAGATAATGATGACAATGAGATTAAATGGCTTGAAGCTGCAATTTATCCTTGATATATATATACACACATACTAAATAAATTAATTTAAAAAAAAATTGTTGATAAAAATATTTTTTTTTTTGCATAAAGTATAATATATTTATCAAAGATCAACATTTTTTTTTAAACCGAATTCCATCTTTATTATAATAAAATGGAAAAACATTTGTCTTCGGCAGATCAAGAACTTTCTTTTAAAAATAAAAAAATAAAAACCGTTGATACAAATGAAAAAACTTCTTTAACAATTATCGACAACACCGATAATGATCCACCAATTCTTATCAATTCTGATTATATCAATTCACAATTTATCAAAAAATTTCATCAAACATATCAAAATAAGCAAGAGTTTAACGATCCTGCTACTTTAGCAAAAACTTATACTTCACCTTTCCCTATAACTTTGCTACCAAACATATTTTCTTCGGATTTTCTAAAATCAATAAGATCAGAATTAGAAGCTGATACATTTTATCATAAATC